GGTTGCTAGGATACGCATGTACGAAAAAATATATGCGGGCGGGACACCGGACAGCGCTGTTCCGGCGCGGCGTAAAAAGCCGCCACGCAGCCCATTAATCCAAGCTCATCTGGGAGCAAACCATTGGGAAAACATTATCAACAAAAGGTGTTAGAGAGCGAGAATGAATTGGTCAGCACACGAATGTAGTTTTGACGGTAGCGGTTTGTGTTCGGCGCCGATTTTTAAACCTCGACCGTTTGCAAGTCGTATTGCAATTTGCAGCGCAACGATACGTTGCACAAACTCGCGATGCACGCTGAAAGTGTAGCAGCCACTTCAGTTAAGAATGTTGGGAAACCAAAATTAACGCCTGTATGCGCACTGGATGATGAGGTGTGACACAAAACGTAAAAATCCGTCAACAATAGTCAATTTTATTTTCACACCACGTGTGCACGTGCCACGTGCAACGTGGCGCCACAAGCTTACATCATTCCGATAGTCCATTCCATTGCTATCTGGCTGTGCAAGTTTCATGTTGCTGCGACCCCTGGCTATTGAGACATAACTCCGGTAAACGAAGCGTGTCGGCCGTCAGCCGGTTGCCGCGAAATTGGCGTCGCCCGTGTTAAGCCTATGGAGATTTGTACGCCCTTTTCGCTGACTACGCGCTCATTTTAGCGAAATACGGAATTTTGGTGTGACTCAGACGCCCTCTGCCAGCAGGCCTTGCTCGTGCGAAAATTTCATCACGGAAATCCCTTACCGTTTAGCTTGCAGGTGATCCGCATGAAGTAGCGGACACACATACACACTTGACTCCTGAGGGCATTATCATGAGGTGACATGAGGCTTTTATCCCGCGAACGCTGCGTCCTGAGGGGTAGCAGCGCCACTCACGTGGTTTGCATGTGTTGTTATCACTAGGACTTAAAGCTATTGATTGGATTCCTTGGCCTGCCAAATGCCACTTAAAGGGACCTCCTGAGTTAAGCTGTGTGGGATGTTCATAAGGCATGTTGCATGATGCGGGTATATGAGAATTGTCCGCGCGTAGGATAGTGTGCGATCATTTTGTATTTACGCTATCAATGCGCAAGCAGAGGACATTTTACATTCGGTTTATTAATGCAGATTTAGCCAGTGGGTAAGCACAGAACGCTGTGTTTAAACTGAACTCGCTCTGTCAATTGATGAGGTTTTGACCAAATTGTCAGAAGCCGTAGTTCACACAGTTCACAGACATCACTTAATGACCCAGCACCAGGGTAAATTTTTTGACGGCCTTCAAAACGACCGGCAGAAAACGAAGCTTTGGTATTTCTAGTCTTTTAAAACGGTACACTTTCGTCATTCATAACGAAGTTCAGCAATCTCGCTGGGATGCACCGTAATGCACGCTGCATCCCTTCGTGGTATACTGACCAGAACCTGAGCAGATTAAACATGAAAGTTATTGTGCGCTGTCAGACACCATGAAATACCACAATTTTCGGTCGATACGTTTCTACAGTACCTTGTACCGGAAAGGAAATTGTCGTTTCAAATGTGGAAAAGTGTGTTCCTTTTCAGCTGCATCAGCTGCACAGTACAAGAACAGGTGCAAGTATTTAAGCATTTTCTTTTATGAGGAAGACTTTGCCGTGAAGTGCGATTGGCATTACGCTGCCATATCCCATGGGAAGAATGCTTGCGACAGAATTGGGGACCTTGGAAGAGGTTGCTACCAGTGTCAACCTGTGGCGCCCCATTCTGATCATATTCGCTCTGCTGGGAAGTTATGTCAGGTCTTTGAGGGCTAGGCTAATGTGCAGACCGTAGGTCTCTTGATACCAAAATGAGAAGTAGTTCGGCTAGAGGATTAGCTTAATGTCAGCTTGGCCACAGCCAAGGCTATCAAAGGGACACTGAAGGTTCACAGAGTAGCTCAAGTACGTGTGCGGACTGTGCTGGATGGTTTTTACATCATTTTGACATAATATTTATACGGTTTTCTTTCATCGTAGTGAACAAATCGCCGCCGAACGTAGCTCTTCAACCACACAACACAAAAATGTTAGAGGCTGCAACTCCAAAACTGCTCAACTGCGAGGTCTGAAAACGTCACAAGGCGTTTTCAGCGCCACATACAGCCCCTGTGACCCGTTTCTATCAAATTCCGAGAAATGAGGGTGTAGAATTGACCCCTCAACCATTTGATTTGCCGTTGAATGCCCTGGTAACCGCCATCGCTTTTCGACCGCAGTCTATCAAAAAACTGTATGCAACTCAGCCCGGTGTCCCACCGGGCTGAGTTGCGGCGAGGCTCAGCCCGGCCGTCCCGGGTCCACCGGACGGCGCGCCCGCGTCCTGCGCTCCCTGCAGTGCAGCGCGGCTCGAGTTGCAGGCCCGCTCTGTTGGAGCGGGATGCGTCAACCACCCAGCCACTAGGTCACGCTCTGCAGACGGGATTTTCCCAGCCGCTGTTTGCGCTGTGCTGTCGGGTAAACCGCGAAGTTGCACAACGAGTGGAAGCAGCCGGCCCGCGCGATAAGACGGCGCGCAAAAACGTGCGGTGCGCAGTGGGCAGCACTGGTAAAAAGAATGCAGGCTGGGAAGAGTTCTTGTCAAGCGCACGTTGGCCGTTCTCACGAAGGCCACACCACAGACACATTAAAATCCCTGCCCTGATAAAGATGGGCGTCGATGTGACCTCCCATCCTAAGATTTTCTGAGGATACCTCTCCGTCATATCATAGAATGGCGCCCAAAAATTTCTAGCCTATGGGGAATCCATTGCAAATGTTTTTTACGCCAAAGAACTTTGAGAAAACGTGACGGTTGACAGCCGACAGCTGTCAGAACGTGAACGCATCAAACGCGACAGCTGACTTTATGACAGCCGCGTCTAGTGACTAGACTCTTGTTACCGACAAGCTGCTTCCGCTCCCTTCCTTCTGCGGGAACAGAGAGAGGCCAGTGTTTTGCTCACATCTTGATCTCGTAGACCCGCAGACACACATAATAAATATATCAATAGAATGTTTGCGCCACGTCCGTGTGGTGTCTGGACAAAAATTTGATTCGTAGTTTTCCAATTGTTTTTTGTCGATTTCATTTGACGACTTCTGTATTGGCGACACACAAAAGTCGACGAACCAAAAAGTTAAATCGGTTTAATGACAAGCTAAAAGACGGCAGCATGAAAGAAGTGCGACATGCCAAAATTGCGTGAGGCTCAATGACGAACTGCAAAACAAAATGACGAGATACCACGAAGTCAACCGACCAAAATGGGGAACTGCAAAACGGTGATACGTAAAAAAGACAACATGCCAACTTGGCGAAAAGCTAAACGGTGAGCTGCTTATGGAAAATGTTCCACATTTGAAGATGTTGGGCCAAACTTCAGATGTGACGGAAAGCTTCTCCCATGTTACCATTCACCAGCACCAACACCGAATTCAAAGGTGACTCTTTTGTATTTCGTCATTTAGCCCTTCACCAATATCACAATGATGTTTAACTGAGTCGTTATTTTTCAACTCGCCATTTATCCGTTCGCCAACTTTGCATGCCGCCATTTTGAAGTGCGCCATTTAGCTTCTCGCCACTTTGTCAAGTTAACTTTCTTGTATTTCGCCTTTTTGCAATTTGCCATTTAGCTGTTTCGACTTTTTGCCCCGCCAACTGTTTTACACGTCGGCATTCCGCAGTCACCATTCAGCAGCCGACAAAAGGCATTCGCCATATGGGATTTTTCAATTTTTGTTCTGGAATCCCTCCCCTTTATCAGGGTTATTTCACCTATCTACATCCTTAAGCGGTATTGACTAAGAAAGCAAGCATATAAGGGTTGACCAAAAAATAATTTACAAGCATTGACTAAAAAATTGGGATATGAGTGTTTATTAAAGATAGAATATCATTTTTGATCAAAATAGTTAACATACGTCTCGAGTAAAATATCATCATGGAAATGTAAAGACAAGATAATCGAGAATACACGACATTATTTTGTACCATGCGATACGGTCTGTGGCCAGTTATAAACTGAGTTTTGAGCGGGAAGCTTTGACTTGCCTCACCCCCCCCCCCCCCCTTCACGACATTCTGGACAAAAAAAATGGCCTTCCCATGCAAAAAGGCCTGAAAAGAATCCGGGCTAGACGAGAGCGACTTCTACAACTGGCATCACTAATTCTGTCCCTACGGTATATGTACCATGGTCGCGTTGCCAGCAATACCTTGCTGTGCCACTACAGGCCCACGTACTCGTGTCGTACTTTCCTCCTGGGAATCTTACACCTGTATCCGTGTCGCACGGTTTTTCCCACAGCCGTGCCTACCAGCTGGTTGGTCTCTAAGCCATCGGGACATAGGCAGAGCTGTTGCGTCGCACAGCCTTCTGGGTAAACTGTTGCGTCGCGCTGCCCTCTGGGTAACCCGTCGCGTCGCAATGCCCTGTGCGACGCGACATGCCGACCCGTCGCGTCCCACTGCCCTCTAGGTTTCCGGTCCTTGTGGTCGCTGCGGTTGGTGCAGTCATCAATTGCTTAATCATCGGCATGCGCGTCATCGGAAGGGTTTCTGCTATAGGCGTTTCTTTGGCCGCCAAAAAAGATGCAGAAAATCTCCCAAGCAAGTCTAGCTGATAATTATTTATGCAACTGACATTGTGCAGTCCGTACAGTCTCCGAGTCTGTACTGTGTTAAGCGCGACACACCGCGTCGCGGCTTCGTCTTCGGTCACTGTGGTTGTTTTGGAGCGACCGCAGCTTCGTCTGCGGTCACTGCGGTTGCTTTGGAGCGACTGCAGCAACCCCAAAGTGTGACGCAGTACGTAACGTGACGTCATTGCAAAGTCATGACGTCATGCCACTAAATGGCATCACACAAACGCTCGACGCCGGTTGGTGTGACCGCCACGAGCGCAGTGGCTGCGCGTGCCGTGACTGGCTGTGGAGTCAGACCCTGCGGCCGCGTCGTACTGCGCATTGGCTCCGCACCGCCGCGGGGGCGCGGGTGTACCGGAGGACCGCGTCATATGATTAGATTTCGTCCGAAGCAGTTGCAGTATAAAGGCCGAGCAGACGTGACGCAGTCCATTGGAGAGGCCGGCTTCGTCTGGTTAGCTGTCTAGTCATCCGTGTTCCTTTGTTCACCGCGTTTCAGGCAACGATGAAGTATCTGTGGGCTTTCGGCATCGCCGTCGTCCTGGCGATGCCGGCGCTAGGACAAAGTGAGTACTCTAGGCGGTGAGAGCAATCTTCCGCAGCTTGGGAGCTCACTCTGACCTGTTACAGAGCAGGCAGGTGAGGTTGTCCGCAGGTCTGCGATACCGACTGCCACCGGCAGGGCAGCACGTACGAGGTTTTCTGAGGTCACCGATCTCGACTGTGGTCGGCGCCGCGGGAGGGGGGAGATTATCTGTGGTCAGTGTAAGCGGCTGTCACGAACAGCGCGGGGTAGGCATGGTCCCACGGGGTCACCAACACCGGCTCTAACCAACAGGACTGGGCGGGTCACAACCTCGGAAATCGCCGACTCCAAAACTGTCAGGTGATGTATTATTTGAACTTGACCACTAAATCAAACTCAGGGCCGCACGATTTCATCGCTTTCGCCCATGAACGCACACCGACGTTACAGGTGACGGTCACCGCACACCGACGTTACAGGTGACGGGCAGCGTGCACCGACGTTACAGGTGACGGTCACCGCACACCGACGTTGCAGGTGCCGGTCACCGCACACCGACGTTACAGGTGACGGGCAGAGTGCACCGACGGCACCGGAGGTGGACGAGCAGTCACACAGGCCGGTCCACTTCACCTACTGGCTGTGGGTTGGGACCGAGGTGAACGAGACGTTCAACCTGTCGCTGACGGTGCCGCCGCACACCAGCATGTTTAAATGCATGAAGCTGGCGGCCAGACGAGACAGCCATTACGAGTGAGTGAACTTCCACCCCGTGCCTTAGTTCACAATCAGAATGGTGAGGTGCGCACGACATTATATAGGTCGAAAGGATTTTGTGCGCAAAACATATTGACGAGCAGTCACGGCTTATTTTACATTGCTTAGTTATCTATTCTAGTAACTGCGGGGGCTGGCTTTTGCTGTCGAATTTCCCTGGTGCCTCTGTTCGGGGGTGTGATCACGCAAAACAGAGCAAGGAGCTGAGCAGGGTAAAACGGCTAAACCTACCCCTAAAATAAGTAAAAACAGGGCTGTTTCTGTGTAGGAAACATGTGAAAACCAAGACATTCACCAAGACGGAGGTTGTTCTCTGGGACGTCGATGTGGCACGTCAAATGAAGCCATGTCATATTCATATACCGAACTGATGCAACGCCCTGCCCTGTTTCGGCAGGTTCACGAAAGTGGACTTCTCGTTCGGCCATTACATTGATAGCATTGGTGGCTACCACGAGCAGAAGGACAACAGCATCTTTTGGATGCTGTACAGGCTGCCTTCCCCGCCCGACAGGAACAACAAACCAGACGACAGCGCCCTGACCCCAAAAGGTGCGTAGCGCATCTCCGCCGGACAGCGAACACGCAGATTTTGACACACGGAGAGAGCATCGTTTTGGGATCGATCCTGCTCAGCCAGATGCTGCGTGTTTTGTGTCTTTTTTGTATTGTTTGTTTTGCACGGGGCGGAAATCCGACAGTGGCCGCCAACGGTCGCATGTTTCACCAGGTGCCGTAAGATTTGACGTCCTCGGCTACCAAGGTTGTATGCTGTCTTCGAGCTGCGAGCTTATCTGGCTTCGAGTTGCTCGCCAATCGTGCTCCTGGTTTGGTTCACTTGAGCCATATCACGAGGTTCAAGATTAAACGAGCTTCTCAGAATGCTGCATGCCGACTGCCAATGACGCAGTACGAACGTTGACCCCGATAAGTCTGTTTTCGGCGTGTTGGGAAGGGGTTCACATGTCACTGCAGGCATGACAGTTGCTATGATTTGATGCAAGAGGAACGGACACAGAAGGTATCCCAAGCTACCTGGCGGGCCGCCTTACGGGAAAATAGTCATAAAACCCATCGAGCCTGTAAAAGATGGAATATCAACTGATGTGTTGTTAGCATTAATGGCTCGCAATAGATCAGTCTCGAAAGCGGGAGTTGGCAGCGACCAACGCGAAAGTTCTTGAAGGAACGCCTTGTTTTGCAATCTTATTTGACATTGGTCTCTTTTTAGTGGGCTGAAATTTAAAGGCCTTGTAGCTTTCCGGAATGGTTTTCTGAAGAGGGATTGAAATGACCTCCTCCTTTCCACAATCAAACACAACAACGCTTACGGAACTAACACATGTATCTATTCCAGGCGTTGACGGTGTCTTTCCGAGAAACGGAGACCACATCTTGTTCTGGTACAAAGAGGTGGACCTGAGCACCCACCAGTGAATGGTATGGGGGGCGTTGTGGACGCCGCTCCCGGTCAAACGCGTGCTGCCATTGTTATCAGGAGAAGAAGGCCCCGAGGCTCACGGCGCCTGCGGTTCTAAACGTTCGGACTGTATCCGATTATGTCATGATCAACACAGCGTTGATATAGACTTGATTTAGAGCTGATACAGGTGGATGCAGTTTTATACGCACTTGACACGGGCAGAGCAGTATCGTGCTCCGTGGCGTGCGTCAGGTCAGAGGTGCTCGCCAGGGCTCGTTGTACTCGTTGTGACGGGCCTTTGTAAAGCATCGATGTGAGCCAATGCGATTAAATATATGATCTATTTCGCCTGGGCTGTTGTGCATGGTGGCATTTGAATGACTCCGTACAGCGGTTGCATTTTGACATTTGTTCAACGACACGTTGACTTCGCACACGCTACAAAGGTATGCCCTTTGACATACCTCTCGGAGTGAACTTTGCGCTTGCACGGCAGTAACTGCCTAGACAACTCGGTTGGCGCTTTGTGCACCAGAGCAAAGAACCTTGCAGGGTTTGTGGGTTAGCAAGACATTATAAAATTAGGGAAATATTACACTAGCATGGTATATACATGCATATATAGGTCTGTATATATATATATATATATATACATATATATATATATATATATATATATATATATATATATACATATATATATATATATATACATATATATATACATATATATATACATATATATATGCATATATATACATATATATATATACACATATATATACACATATATATACATATATATATATATACACATATATATATATATATATATATATATATATATATATATATATATATATATATATACATATACATGTTGGTGTGTTACTTAATATTCAACACAAATTGTACGGCAAATTTCAATCTTGAACAAAAAAATCGCGCCCTACAAGTACAACCTCTTGAGATGCATTACCATGAATCCCCGTCAAGATCCTGTTTTGTAGGGAGCTCGGGGTGAAATGCGGTGTTATAGCCGAAAACATGCGCGGAAATTATCAGAAAACCCCCAATTCATAGTCCCGCGGACTGTGCAAGCGTGGGATCACACTTATTTGACATGAGAGTGTGAATCATTCGCTTGAAATAGGTGTGGTTAATGGTGGTGCGTGCCAATACAGTACTGACATCCTTAACAGTTCTTGGCAGGTTTCGGTAAGAGATTCTTGACACCGTATGGCAGTTTTCACAGCATATCGTGCTTTTATATTAATAATCTGCCATAAAAGCTAGCGAGCATTACGTTGAGTATGTCAAACAGCCCACCAAAGTTTCCGTTACGACCAGTACCAAGACAAAAAATCCGCAAGCAAGTCATTTACTAATCCGTCACCCAACACAGCGACCGCGATGAGAATGGACGGCTGGCGTCAGCTTTCGTGTGTTTCGAGGTATTCTTTAAGTCTGGATGCCAGATGCTGCCAGATAAAGCTGCCGTCACAAAACGGTTCCATGAGTCCATCAAACGATGACGTAATGTGGCGCATTTTTAGAATCTTTGAAATTTTGCTACTTAGGGTCGTTTTTGAACCTTGAAAGCTTATCAATAATTACAAGTAAGGTTTCCCCATCATGTGTGATGTTTATCTCAATATCTTCAAATGTGGAACATTCCCTTTAATCTCATCATCGATGCAGTCAGGACGGGCATTGCAAATTAACAAGCGAACTACTGAACTTGCAATGAATTATTGTCCGGAATTTGTCATAGCGCGTGGTCTTGACCCGGTACAGTAGTTTGCCATACGATGTTCTGCTTACGATATGCTGCCATGTCAGCCTGCATCCAGCTCCCAAGCTTGTGGCGCGAGGAACCTCGCTGCCATGGGATTCGTTGATGAGGCGGTGGGGGTGCGGAGTAAGGGTGTAGGCTCCTGTAGACTGCTTGCAGAAAATACCCGTCCCAAAAAGAGGTATTTTCTGCAAGGTATTTTCTTCAATATCTTTAAATCTGAAGATATTGAAGAAAACATCAGACATGATGAAACAAGCCGACTTGTAATTTTTGATATACGTTTTAGGTGGAAAACTGCTCTAGACAGCACAATTCTCTGTTTAGTAAGTATGCTCCTCAATGCGTCATGGTTGGATTACATCATCATGCCCTGTACAACATTGATTGAGAGCCAAGTGACCGCCGTTGTATCTGGAAATTGTGCTCACGAGCGCCTGATATGAGCGTCTTGACCGCTATATTTTTATTGGCCGTAGGTGCCACAAAGTTTATGGAATGACAGCATTTTAATAACGTTTTTATTACATCATGAATGCGAATGTGACTTTGAAATACTCTCCCCGATATACCTTTCCCCATCTTCGCGGGCGTATAGCTTAGGAATTAGAGGGGCTTAGGTCTTAAGAAGGGCAGGACTGTGAACCGCACCGAAAGGTCTACAACATGACTATTCCAATTCAAATCCCCATAGAAATGTGGTTGGCTCCCTTTAAGTGGCTTCTCGAGCATGGAACGAAATGGGTCTGATGCTAGATGGGTAGGCCATTTGAAACCGCATCCGTGTGTTGAAGGCTCACAGCTCGATTCACCCTGCCGTCAGCGGTTCTACAAAAAAAGTACGTATGGAACAAATTATGCATGAACATCGTACGCAATTGTTCGTAAGCAAATATCTGCAACGTATAAATTTTGCATGGCAAAAGTACGAACATAAAAGCTCGCACGCAAAAGCTCGTAAGCAAATGTTGGCATCAAGGCATCAAGCGCGTATGTAAACTTCGTTTTGGCAAAAGTTCGCTGGGACAACAGGAGGTACTGGAAAAGTTCGTACGCGTTAAGTACGTACGCAATTGTTAGTGAACAACTGAACTTGCGCAAACATTCGAAGCGGATAAGCTTAGTTTGCCAAAAATGCGTGCCCTATGATTTGTGAGCGGAGTAGACGCATGAGTGGGAGACCGTGCGCGCACTTCACTTGCCGATTATGATCAACCTTAGACCTGTGGCGCTAAATGGCGAAAAGAGACTTCGTGGCATTGGAGGATACTTGTTTGAGGAGTGCTCCAGGACAGACCGACCACCAGAGTACCAAATCATGCGCTGGCAGCTCTTAAATATCGCTGAAATTTGGCTTCCGGGATTCGAAGTGTGAATTACAGTGAGTAATTTTTAGCTATATCCGGTGTGCGGTTTAAAATGATGCTCTCGCGCAGTGACACGGCCCTAATCAGAAGGGATGCATGCCAGCGGCCCCAGGTGGTGCACCATTCTCTCTGGAGTCCGATTAACTTTATGTAAGCAATCGTGCACCGAGTGTCACTGGCGAGTCTGCCTGCCGTATCCCACAGCGTGGCTAACCCGTCGCGTCCGTCGGCTGCCGTCAGTGGCGCGCTCATGGGCGTCAGACGGAGTCGCCGAGAGAGACATCATCACGGTGAAGGGTAATGGGGGGGGGGGGGAGCACAACAAATTCGTCGGGTTATCTGCCGTGGACATTTCTTGTATTCTAAATCTCCAGTCCCCTTCATCTCAATAGCGCAATTGAGTCGCGTTCTCTGGTCTTCTCAGAGCGTAGAGTTCATGTCATGAAGAGTTGAATGAGGCATAATACTTGATCTGACCTGTACAATTGTCACTGTCCACCCCATCTCCTACTCACTGCTCTCCCCAGATCAACGAGATGTGGTGGCTCCCACACTGGCTATTCATTCCGCACCAGACACCAAGAATGAATATCTGTATTTCAACGCTTATTACACATTTTCGCGGATGTTTTGTGTACGTGCTATAGTCAGACGAGCCTTATCTCTGATGAGCATATTTATACAAGCTTTGTGATGTCGAAGTACCACTCTTTACTCACGTTGTTGTGTGGAAAACAAACATTATCCACGGCAACATTGGCGCTTGAACATTTCTGTACAAGCCTTTGCTTACGACCGTTTTCCATGCGAATCTTAGTAAGTACACACATTTTCGCAAAAACTTTTCCGTAACGAATATTTTATTATGCGATATTTGTCCATACGTACTTTTGTCATTGCGAACCTTAGACGTTAAAAACTTTATACCCTGCGTACTTTATTCTGACGAACTTACGAACGGACTTCTGCCCCTGCATACGCAGGGGTAGTGCCAACGGGGAGAGGGATGTGTCCTCCTGTCGTCAGATAAAAGGGACAGTCTCCCTTTTCCAGCAGCCTTCGTGCAGAAAAAGTTTTTGTGCACACCTTTTTAGTAAAGGTTACCTATTCCCAATGTTTACCATAATAAAGTTCCCCTACATCGCGTCGATAGAGTTACATTCCTTCAAATACAAATTAGTGCGATACCATTGGGACTCCAACATACCGTTCGGGGATTTGTCCCTACACTGGCCGTGCACATTCAATCTGGGGGGATCCAAAGTCTAATAAAAAATATGGCAGCTACGGCGCACATTTCACGACCAACCAAATGGTTCTCTTGGTAAAATGCCTTTTTCAGGTCAACGGCTTTCTAAATTTTGAACATATATATGCACAAAAAATGCATAGAACTGAAACTTGAACAATTGTATTTCATTGTGCAGGATCGAGAGCGTGCGCCGTAGCACTCCTTTTCGAGCTATCAGGCAAAGCGTAGAACCATGCATGCGACGCGATGTCCAGGCGTGAGATCGAATCCCATTGCCGCCAACTCTTTTCAGCAGTGTTGAGATGAAACACAGAGTTAACGCGGTCACTAGCTGGCGATATAAATATTCAGTGCAACGATCTTCTGATAGCATATATATATATATATATATATATATATATATATATATATATATATATATATATATATATAATATAGCATAACGTGTATAGGCTGAAGACGCAGCCGCTGTGCTGTTAAACGTGTTGCGAGGTATTATAAGAAATACACATAATATATATTGATATCCATAACTATACTTAACAGGCGTCCTATAGCCAGTGGGCTCCAGGCAACAGCCTGTGGCAGAGGTGCTCATCTTTTCGTGCCCGGCGCATGAAACTTGTCGCGACAGTAGCCGTTCAAAGCTGGCCGTCCCCAGCGCGGTTATAGGTGGAAATAGGCACTCCGTTAAGTGCTAAGTTGTGATGCCGGCGTTCACTGCCGTGCAGGGCCGGCAATGCCGCCTCAGGAACCAGCAAAGCAGCAATGGCACGGTGACATCGCAAATTTGACATTCATCCCCACTAGGAAAAGTTTGGCTACGTGACTGAGGAACTGGCAATCCGACTTTGGCGGCCATCGCGTCATTTTGTTCTCACGGCTCATGAAAATATTTAAGGTGTCACATATGTCCGCCCACCAGCCGTGCACTGGCTTTGGACCGTGCTACCCATAAAA